CACAGGAAAGCTCTCGGTGCGATTCAAAGCCAAGACCTTAGTGACTGTACATGGTGAGTGAGGATATGTGCATTTATACGAGCTCTGATTGATTATAGCGCCCATTGTTGATTCAATTATGCGGCTTCAAGATAAAAATGGTGGGGAAGCCTAGTGGAGCACATCCATTTCAGAATAATTAGGGGAATATTTCATAATTTGCTCTATCATTTAAATTCGAAACATCTCTGTATTTTTTTCCTTCCCTTCTTTTATTGCTGTTGTTCCTGTTCCAGCTTAGAGTGATCAGGGCCATTATGCTGTTTTGTGATGAAAGGCAAAATGCCAATCGTTCTGTTGGTTCAAGCGCTCAACAACCAACAAGATCATGACTAGTTGTGGCGACAGATTTATTATACTTCTTAACACGAAATCCGTCTTTGATCCTGATGCCACCCTCATCTCTCCGACTGCACCAGCTGCAAATGTCGTCCTTCGCTCAACCTGAGCATGCTACGAGAAAACAAATGGGCTTCTTTCAAAGGCTTCGCCGAAAGGAGGACGCCTGCGTCAACCGGCTCTTGCATAAACAAAAGAGTTTGTGAAAGCAATAAGACGTTTCTGGCGACCGGAGCCACCCCGTTTGGCTCCCCTTTGTGTCTGGATGCCTCATGTCACAGCGGTGCCCAAGGAAAAAGCTGCACAACACCTTTGATTTGCTTTCTCCTCCCTCTCCACTCTGTGAAGTGATTAATTTGGCATTAAGTCAGTTGTTGCCATTCCACAGAGAGCCAGAGAACCTGGGAAGCATTTAAACATTTGGACTGACCTGCTGACAGCTGTTGTACCACTTGGGTAGAGTCCAGGCCCGTATCTTGTGCTCTGTGAAAGCTCCTCCAGTGTCCTAATTGCATTTCAGATGTTTGAGCTTTTGTTTTCGCTCAGCTCTCACCCAACATAAACTTGCCTAAGTCCATATTGAGAAGTCAATTTCAGAGCAGCCTCCCTCCATCATCCCGGCCTTCTTTGGAAAAACCCTTAAAGCTGCTGCTTTGTGCTTTTTTTAAATTAAAAGAATAAGGGCATGCAACATTGATTTGCCTTCAACATCTGCACGCATCTAGATGCGTTGGCGTGCGGTTCCTGGTCCAAAACAGCCACGAGTCTGTGTCCATGCCTGCTAGCCTTTCCAAGCTGTCTGATGCAGGAAGATGCAGACTGTGTAATTTGCATTTGCATATTCATACGGGGCTCAGAAAAAGTATTTTAAATCCTTGGGACTTTTTTACATTTTGTTGCATTACAACCACAAATCTGTTTAATGTGGCCTGCATTTGTAACAATAAAGTAATTTGTAGAATCGGCTAACACGGGAATCGCCACATGTGCGTTTTAACGGTGCCAAGATGGAAAGATAATGAGCGGCGATGTCAGAGAAACATTTTTTTTTGCCCCCCCCCCCCCCCAAATCATCTGAATACCATCAATCCACCAGACGAAAGTTTAAAAGTGGAAAACATCTGCTTTTCACTATGAGAGTATGGTCCATGGATTTAATGTTCATTCAGAAATTGGTTTAAGAGTTTTCATGCTTAAGATTTTGATAACCTCGTGCTGTATTTCAAATGTTCTGTGATTTTGCTGGATTTGCTTCCGATTTAGTTTTAAATCTGATTTTCCTTGTGCGACTGAATTTCTCTCCCGTCTTTAGTCTACTGCGCGATGATTGGACTTTGGCACCAGCGAGTCAGCAATTCTCCTCCCCGTTGAACTGATATTGTCATTTGGTTCGATTTGTGTCGTTGGGTTTTGTTTTTTGTTTTTTTTGACCCATGTCCGTCAAAGGGGCTTGTTCCCTGTTTCAGATACATGTAGTAGCAGAACTGAGAGTAGAGTACAGCCAGGAAACAAACTTTCAACTGCATCTCGTATGTCTTTATTACCTCTGAAACCTCTTCATCTTCTCACACAGCTAACAGGTTGCGTCTATATTGTTTTATGGTAATCCACACAAAATTATTGAAGCAGAGTTCAACATCAACAGCCCCGTACTAAAATGTTCACATGATCGCCATTAAACTTGTTCAAAGTTCCATTGTTGGATATGTACATCCAATTGTATCAGCGGACAGTTTGGGTGCTGACTTTCAGTGTGCAGAAATATATCTGCAAGAATGTACAAAATGAGATCAGATAAGTCAATGACTGAAAACACTCTGATGACCATCCGTAGCGAAAACAGATGGGTCTCAGGCACCTATTAGCTGAACTGGACTTCTCTGAAATATCAATCGACGTTCTTGTGCTAATTAATGTTAATCCGATGACTACGCTTCGCTTCTATACTACTTATTTAAAGCCTGTCGACTCACCGCACTAGAAAAAGAGAACATTGTGACAAAGATGTGCTCACAGAAGTCCACAGGATGGGGCGGAGGGAGCCTTCGTCATCTCAGGCCGATCTCAGGCACTTCATTCAAGCTCGCCACCCCCTATCAGGCCTTTGTGATCTGGAGAGGAAGTGCAGTTTACTCTGCCGATAGCGGCCCTGAATGATACTGCCCTGCGCACAACTCAGGAAGGGGTGACGCCGATGACCTCAATGACCAACATCCATTGAGAACACCCTCGCTCACACACACACACAGGCGCCAGCAGCTGTAGTGGCGGGTCCATTGAGAAACATGGAAGCGTCTTTTATTTATTTATTTATTTTTTTCCTTCCTGCTTTTTTGGCTTCTTGACACTTTAAAATCAGCAGCTGGTGGATAAATGGTGCTGCTGCTGAAACAGATTCTTGCTGAAAACTGCTGACTGCGGCTGAAGCAGCATTTATAATCGCAATCTAGTGATATAAATTAATTAGGCTCCGTGGAAAAATGGCGCCCCAAATCATCTGAGGTGCTCAACACTGATTATAAAGAGTGGCAGCTTTTAAAAATTAGGACTTTTGGTTAGAAAAAAAAAAGATTGAAATGGTGTTGCGCACATAGTATTCAGACTCTTTGGATTTTCACGTTACAACTGTGAATTTTAATGTCATTTTTGTTGACAAACCAACTCACAGTAGCACATAATTATATTGTGAAAACTTTTGAACTGCTAAAATTTGAAAACCTCTAATATCAAATTGTATTCATACTTTTTTTACTCTGGAGAAAGTCATAGAGAAGTTTAAAACAGGACTAGATTATAAAAAAACACACAAAAACAATCTCGAGCTGTAGAAATCTCATTGAGCATTTTTCGGTTTAAAAGTTTACCATCCAGAAGGAGAACAAGCAAACACAATCAGTTAGATTGTGTATTTGTGTGCATGAATGATCCAGTCAAAGTCCAGATCTAAACTGTTGAAAACCGGGTATCATTTTCCGTTTACCTAACAATTATGCACCTCTGTGTTGGTCTGCCATGTAAACCCCCCACAATCTGTCACATTGGAGACACAATGTGACAAAAAAACCCCCCCACAATGTCCAGGGTGCGAATACTTTTGAATGCCACTTTAATAAAGAGTAAAAGGTTCACTTAAAGTTGTGGCTGCTGTACGTAAACACACTCCTCAAGAACATCTTCGTCCAACTGTTTTTGAACAATTCTTTCCCCCGTGTTGTAAAAGTGCTTTACAGCCAACGCTCAGAAATTGTTAATCAGGGTTTGCATGTGAACTTGTCGGAGATGCCTGTAATGTCTTATAGTTTTGCTATACCAACAGACAGGAGAAGAAGAAGGCTCCAACATTTCAATGATCCCTGTAATCGCACTTAATTGGAGCCATAAACGTTAGAGAATGTGCACTTCTGCTGCTAATGTGTGGCCCTGGGCAGCTTAGCGTCGCGTTAGCTCTGTGAACAGCTGGAGCCATAATTATAAATGCCGGTTGACTCTATTGAAATTATGTTGCCATTTAAGAAATCATGACTATTTGTAACACTACAGACTCCGGTGTGTAATTACCATAATGACCAAAACACCAAACATTTTCTGCTTGTTATTTTGGGCAGGGAAATACCCCGCAGAGGTTGTCTTTTTCAGTTTTTGAACGCTGCAGGCACTTCAAATTAGACACTTTATCTTGGTTACGCAAAGCAAAGCGTGCAGTCTCCTTAAAGGCTGCACATGCTGATTGTACGCTATGAAGGCATGCCCAAGCTGTTGTCCTTTATTACCAGATAGCATACTGGGAACATAAGCAGATGCCCGCAGATTCGATAGGGGTAGTGACGTGGAGACCACCAAGGTACACACAGTTCAAGTTACTGGGGGACCAAGAAGAGAGGCACCCGTCTATTGTCCGGGAATATCTGGAACATCTTTATCTCCCGCTCACATCCCTCTCTATTGAAGTGCGCAACAGCCGGCACGATGAAAAGGTTTCCCGGGAAGGATTTGTTCCTCGAATTTCCACTGGAACAGATAGACGTTATTCAGACAGGAGCTGTTGCCAATTTTAAACTATAAAACCGTTAATCTGTCATAGCCAGAAACCCATCTATTTTACTTGGCTTTCAACTCCAGCAGGATCCAGTTTTAAATTGTATGTTTATTTTTTTAAACTGTAAGGGTTTTTATTATTTATTATTATTATTATTTATTGTTATGTTGTGTTTTAATGTACAGCACTTTGTATCAGCTGTGGTTGTTTTAAAGTGCTTTATAAATAAAGTTGGTATGGTATGGTACAGCGGCTCAAAATCAGGAAGCAGTCGTGAGTTTTAAGAACTGTACAACAAAAAAAAGTCCCCTCTGCCAGATTTGTAAATACTAAATAGCTCTTTGTTAGACGACAAGTTGCCAAAAAATCAATCAAGTTTATTTGTGTACTACATTTCAGCAACAAGACAGTTCAAAGTGCTCTTCACCACAAAAACACAAACAACAAAAAAAAAAACACAAAGTTGTAACAACAGACAGTTGACATCATTACGCATCAAAATGTCGATTAATGTTTCATTGATTATGTTTCAAAAGCAACTCTAAACAGGTGGGTTTGTTTTTTTTTTTAGACGAGATTTAAATTATTAATGTGGAACCAATTAAACATTATGCTGCTTATATGGCTGCTGTGGTTCCAACTAAAACTCTGCTTAGAGCCCAGTTTATTCTTGCGCCGGCCCTGCCACTCTATCAAGCTGTAACGATCCAAACAAATCCCGCATGTTTATAATAATGTCAGTTGGCCAGTACATTCTGTGCATACTCAGAAGCACAGAAAAAAAAAAAAGAAAAGTAATCTCCTCTGTATATGTGACCACCCTTATCTGGAGCGGTGGTGGGGGTATAAAAAGCACTCGGCTCCCCCTGACTGCACCAGAGTACCTTTGCTGATCTGATCCCGCCCCTACACAGGGGAGAGAGTTCACGGGCTCACTAGAGCCCATCGCCAGTGGACTGTTCCGAGCTGCAGCCCACCCCTCTCTCTCTGCAGTATGCATGTTCGCCAGGGATTCCGCGAAGCCCTCACGTCCCAACTCTGCACTGCTTCACCGGCCGGCCACCACCACCACCAGCAGCAGCAGCAGCAGCTCAGCCAGGGCGGACGGCAATAAGACGTGGATGCGGCGGCAGAAAGGCGGAGATTCCCGGAGTGAGCGCAGGAACAAGCGGACTTCCCAACAGGACTTCCAGGCTGCCCGGGTCTCTCTCCTCTGAACTGAGACAACATGCATGTGCTCCTCTGGGGCTTGGGGTTCCTGCTATTCCCTGATCTCTTGAATGTAGTCGCATCCACAGGGAGATTGCTCCGGAGTCCAAGCACAGGTAGGTAGTTTCCCAACCCCTTCTCTCTTCTCCCTCTTCTCCTGTCCTCCCTCCTGACGCGTGGGATCATTCGCAAGGCAGAGAATGAATGAGTTCCCAATTCCGCCTTGTAGCGCACAAGTTGAAATCTGATCGACTGTTAAATACCAAAATAATAAAAAACACGTGAAAAAAAAAAAAAAAAAAAAAAATATATATATATATATATATATATATATATATATATATATATATATATATATATATATATATATATATATATTTAAAGCATGATCTCGCACATCTGGACTGTTTTGACTTGAACTGAATCCCGCCTGCCTTGTTTCCTGCCCCCTCCCCGCAGCACCAGAGGAGCTGGCCGCGTATGAGATTGTAACTCCGGTGCGAGTGAATGAAGCCGGTGACAGGCTTCCAGCCGGCGCGCACTTCAAGAGGAAGAGACGGAGTTTGGACGAGGGCACCGGGAGCGCCGCGGATCACTGGGCCGCGGCAAACATCCACTACAGGATATCTGCTTTCGGGAAGAACTATCACCTCAACCTCACGCTGGATTCGGGATTTATTGCGCCCGTTTACACTGTGACAATCCTCGGAGCGCCCCAAGGAGATAACGGGACCGCTTTTGCAACAGATGCGGAAAAGGAGGAGGAGGAGGAGGAAGAGGAAAAGGAGGAGGAAGAGAAGGAGGAGGAGGAGGAGGACACGGAGTTAAGGCACTGCTTCTATAGAGGACATGTGAATGCACATGCACAACATGCCGCAGTCATCAGTCTGTGCGCCGGCCTGGTGAGTTTAATTTTACGCACGGCTGCAAGGCACTGTACACTTGGACCTGGCTCTTATTTGAATAATAATAATAATAATAATAATAATAATAATAATAATAAAAAGTTACTTCAAGCATTCTATGCATAAAAAAAGAAACATGAAAAAGTTTAGCAGAATTTCCAAACTACGACAAGTTTCGGAGCTCTGTTTTCAGGGCGCGTTCAGCTTTCCACGAATTATTACTCGAGGTCTGACCGCACGTTCCCATTTCCACGCTTCTTCTCCCGGCAGTCGGTGACGTCTTCACGCACGTTTGAGCAGCGCCGGATCATGACTGTCGCTGACGTCATCACGAACTGCCCCCCAAAAAAAGAAAAAAAGAAAAAAAAAATCCCAGGGCTGCTGAAGCAGGACTTTTGTTGGGGATCAAAAGTACACTCAGAGTTTAATTCATATAAACCGCTCGTGAGGTGATTTATTTTATTTCTTTTATTTTTTGCTTTATCAAAAAATATTCACACACACTGGTAGCATTTTTTTCCAGTTTACAATGACAAAGATAGTTTGTATAAATGAAAATCAGAAGAAAAAAAATGTGTATTTGGTTTTAGCCTCTTTGAGTCAAATCTTTGTAGAACTGGAATCACTGAAGTGTTTTGAGGATCGTCTTTTACCCGCCAGCCGGACTCTGGCAGATTTTGTGTCAGAATTGTTCTGTGTTTGACTCCATCCACCTTCCTGACGCCTGTGAGCAGAAAAGCATGCCCACTGCATGATGCCACCACCACCATGTTTCACACCGGCTCAGTGCAAGTTTTAGACTCAATGTTGGCCTCGTCTGACCCACAACGCATCGCTTTGCTGAGTCGCCTACGTGGATATGGTAAACTGTAAGCTCCAGCGGTTTCCTTAAAAGTTCGGACATAAATCTTGAGAGATTCACCCATTAGCCAGATGGTTTCATAGGCTTTCAGTTTTGCCAAACGTTTTTTCCCCTCCCTCCCATTTGTGGCTGATTTAAACGTCCCCACAGCTTTTATCCCTAACCTGTCTGGTGCGCTCCTTGGTCTTTGTCATGTTGTTTGATCACCGATGTTCTCTGGTAAACCTCTGGCAACTTCGCAGAACAGCTGGATTTATACTGTTTACTCGTCATAGTGACTTCTGAAGGCGGTTGATTAGATTTTTTTTTTCAGCAGGCAGTAACAACGCGCATCATCTATTTATACTTTACAGCCATGCACTGCTTTATGTCGGTCTAATTGATGAAATTCCATTTCTGTGCTGACGTTTGTGGTTGTAACATGTGAGAGAGCTTACTGAATACTTTTGCAGGACACTGTAGTTTTGTCCAAACTATGCATTTATTTGTATATATTGTGCACATGTGGGATCAGTGAGTGGTTTAATGTTTTCTGCCTGTGTCAGATACATCTACGGTATTTCACCTGCTTTATTTCCTATGACTTCCTATAATGAGCATCAAGTCAAATGTGCCAGTGGTTTAGCTTGTAGAGATCTAAGTTGGCCAGTCATGCTGAAGGTTTCCTGTGATCTACAGTAAGAGGGCTTCTAAGGGCATTTTGCCACCATTCAGAGTGCTTTCCCCGATACACATCGCAGATCTGCTTTGATTCCTTTCGCCTTGTTTGATGATAATTCGCACACTCATGCAAATCGTCTCCTTTCATCCAGTTATGAAAAGGCATTTCCTTATTTCATCCCGTATTTTGCGAATAAGCAAAAAAACAAAACAAAAAAAAAAACTATTCTGCATTTGGATAAGATGGAAAACTCTTAAGAGTTTCCTAGAAATATCTTCAGAGGAAAATCTCAAAGAACCGAATTCAGCATGTGTGAAATATTCTGCAAAGATTCAGGGAATCTCGGGAATCCCTGTGCATATAGGCTGGAACTGCAGAGCTTTGATGGATGTGGGTCAGCTGCAAGAATTCAGGAGGCAGCGCATGAGAAACGGCAGAATTACTGGGGTCAGGGTCTCTGCATGCTTTTGGGCGAATCAAATATCTTATGATGTGCGGGCAGTGTCGACGGATATCGTACAGCTAGCTTTTGTGCACCACTGACACAGATGTGCACATTTGAATTTTGGTGTGTGGCACTTTCAGCAGGACATTATCCATAACTTATATTGCACATCTGGCAAAGACGTTTGAGAGGCACAGAGCGTGCGCTCGATGGGCCTCCCGCAGCCCATTGAATATGTGTAGAGCAGTGATGAAAGGAAGATGCAGGCAAGTTCACCTGCTGTATCATTACTTCCTACACCAAGGAATACCAGAGAGCACGGTGCTGGAGCCATTTTAATTTTTTTTTTAAATTTATGTTCATGTAAGTGTGTGAGGATGTTGGGGTCAAGACGAACCGGCAGTGAAACGTGTGCTAGATGACACACACGTTATTATTTTTTGATGTTTCTGGATAAAACAGCACTTGTCTATCGAAAAGCATTGAAATTTATGATTACGTTGTCCATGGATACTCAGATATATTTATCCAAAATCCCGCCAAAAGAGATAACACATGTGTCAGACACCCATTGGCCCTAATCTGGCATTATGCAGTGTTATTATTACAAAACTTTGCATTGTCTTTAATGCCATGTTCCTTTCAATCCAGCATTAAACAAGGTTTTAGGACATTCTTTTTTTCAATACTGTCATAATTAAAAATAACATTAACAAGTACAATTACTACGCATTTTGACATCCAGATTTGAATCTCCAAATGCATGAATTCGTTTTGGACCAATCTGACAAACTTTGGTTAGTCTTGTTCGAAAGTTCCTTGGACTTTATTTTAGGATTCTGTAGAATCCTAGTCCATTCCTGATCTGTAAACGTCATGGCAATGAAAAATTCCCAGGCTGATAGTAGCATAGCCTGGTTTTAAACAGTCCATCAAAAATAGAGATTCCAATTTTAAATCTGTTTTGATCAAAATGGATTCTATGCAACTACATTATCACCTATATAATCTGTTTTAACTGAGCTGATGTGGCACGATGATGAACACATTTTCTCTGCTTTATTTTGTATATTACTTATGTTTACCTTTTTTTTGACAGATTCTTACAGGTTCTCTTTCTTTCCTTTACAGTTTGGCACTTTCAGGTCTCCTGAGGGGGAGTATTTTGTGGAGCCCCTGCACAGCTATCAAGGGGAGCACTATGAAGAGGAACACACAAAACCTCATATCGTGTACAGGAAACTTTCATCCGGGAATCGCACATCAGCCTGGGAAGAGACCTCAGCCTGTGACACTTCAGGTGCGCGGCGCTCCAGGATGAGCGTGCATGCATCGCGCTTTTTGACAGACGAGCCTTATTATTAAGATACAGATGCAACTGTAACTTAGGCTTAACCCTAACTAAACCCTAGCCCTCTTCATTCCCTGATAACTCAGTGGACTCTGTCTGTTTGGGGACGTTTGGGGTCAGCTGGTGCAGTTTGCTTTCACACTGGACTGTGTTAAACACACCAAACACTTTGACAAATCTGTTTCCATCCCTCGCCTGTGGCGGCGCTGCACCATGAACCGATGAAGGAAACGACACAAAAAATCTGAAGAAGACACTGAGAGCAACAAAAATGGAGTGGTGTCAGATTTTAGTGGCTGTAGGATTTCTCCTTTTCTCATAAAGTAAAAGACCACGACCATTTCTTGACCTGTGTGTTTGCTTTGGTTGTTTTTACCCCGAATGCCTTGCCAACTCTGGTCTGCTTGACATTCACATTTACATTCGAATCGTGCCAGAGTTCACTTCAGCTGAACGGCTCCAAAAACCTGGAAGCGGACTACTGCGCAGGGCATTCTGGGTAAATACAACCAAAACAAATGAACAAATCCAGCGCTTGAGAAAGAAAAGAGTCATTTACCAGAGACGAGAGAAATCCTACAGCCTGTAAGATCTCGCTCTACTCCATTTTTGTTTACATTTCGAAACAAAAATTCAGATTCTTCTTCAGAGGTTTGGTGTTGTTTTCTTCAGTGTTTCTTGTTGCAGTGCCACTACAGGCGGGTGTGGGGAAGGACAGGCTTTTCAAGGGTTTGGTTCACTTGACCCAGTGCTTTGCAAAAGTGAACCACGCCAGTTGAAAGTGTTGCAAAAACTACAATTTTGTTCCTCAATGGAATCAAGTCTGCCAGACCACGAGATGGAGAAAGCACCTTTAAATTCCAGTAGCTCAGAGCTTGGTACTGAAGTTTATCGCATTTCATCCACGGAGTGCTCACATCATCCGTCAGCTGACCTAAATATCAGCTCCGGTCGCCCCTCCCCCACTTAGTGGCGAAACCCAGCAGAGCCGGCTGCCTCTGGGCTGGGACCTCCCAGTGGCTGTGTTTAAAAACAGTGTGTATGCGGTTGTTTTTTATGTGCATGGAAGTGTTTTCATGGGATGTGTGTGGTTTGCAAGTGGAGGATTTTTCTCATGTGCATGCAACCTTTTAAACTGGTTCCCACAGACATAATCAGGTGTAATCGTTGAGCCACACATGCAGCCTCTCCCCTATCAGCCGCAGCAGAAGCCGATTATGCAACAGTAGCTGTGCTTATCGAGTTATTACAATAATTGTTCTGTGCCTATTAGGCTAAGCTAGGTTTATCTTAAAAAGGGAGGGCAAGACGGGAAATAATGATTATGTAGCACGACTACAAGGATGAGTTTCTTATCGATATTGGCTCAGAATGAATAAGAAGTCTGGCTGTCACACAGCATGCACGGTGCAGTTCCTGCAGCTGCTGCACACCAGTGAGGAAGCTTTCCAACTCTCACACAGGCTCACACACACACACACACACACACACACACACACACACACACACACACACACACACACACACACACACACACACACACACACACGTGCAAGAAAAGAAAAAAAGAAATCACTTGGAAGTTCACCCTTGTATCTCCCCATCTCAGTTTACTGGCTGAACTTCCTGTTGACTCTTGTACTTCCTCTGTTTCTTTGATAAGCAGCTCGGGCAGACCCACTGCGATGACCACGCTGTGTAAACTGTGTAATGGCAAAATAACGCCAACTTAAGATAGTCAAATAATCAAAACCAAGAAAATAAATGGCGGAATATTTTCCTCCGTTGATTGTTGTGCGGCCGTTTGGTGTCGCTGCGTATGTAAATGTTTATGTGCGTGCGAGTGCGTGTGTGTTTCTCTTTTGATTCCGTTGCACAGCGTGAGTGAGGATGTATGAAAACATAGTCAGAGGGAGCGCCGACCTGACCAAAGAAGCCACATGGAGCTAGAAGTGATTTAGGGGCTCACATGAAGTTTATGTTGTACCTTGCGAACAGTATTCCTTTGCCCTATGAACTTCTGTACATTTTGTCGTGTTGCAACGACAAACTACAGTGCGTTTTGTTTTATGCGATGGACGAGGCTCACCCTCTCGCTAAGATTATTTAAAAAAAAGGTCCTGTTACTTTGCCGGCTTAAATGAGTTCTCACTAAGGAAGGTTCACGTTTTTGTGAGAATTAACTGGTAATACAAAATCTTACTAGGTATTTTTTGAAAACTAACTTACAAGTAACTTTTCAGCATGAAATAGGAGCTTGTCCATGGCAATAATGTCTGAATATTGATGAAAAAGTACTAAATATATGTATGTAAAATAATCTGCCAGTGGAACCAGACATTATGATTTATAACATAGGAAAAATGTCTTGTTCCACTGGCAAATTATTTCACTTTATTTATTTTATCATTCAAAGTACAACAAAAAAAAGACAGTCAGAGAAAGGTATCGCATGCGGTGGTTTTGTTGTCTTGTCTTTGTTTCCTGAGCTGCCTGCTGTAGCGCTCTTCTATGATTTGACTTCAAGTTTTACCTAGTCTGAACTCACTGCCCTTCTCTTGCTCTCTCTCTCTTTCCCTCTTTTCAAAGTGAGGGAAAAGAAGAAAAATGAGCCTTCACTCTGTGTTAGCAAATCAACACAATATTTGAGCAGAAACAAACATAATACACCCAGAGCACAGACATGTGAAGCCAAGACCTCCTCTCTCCAGTCCACACTTTGCAATGCATTTTCAAGTTTGAAGCCTTCACCGCAAATCCAACCACATCCTCCTCCTCACACACAATCATTTATATCTTGTCTTTTAATTTATTTGCGTTTCTTTTGAATGATTGAATCGGTGTGTGTGACCTCAGGTTTTGCGTCTGTGTTTATTTACGCTCTGGATTCTTTAACTCTTAGGACACAAACACAGGGACAAGAGGCAGAAGGCGAGGAGAAGGCCGGCCCCCGTTGCCGGCGGCGCGTCCCCTCTGGTCGGCGCTGGCATGCTCGACGACCTGGGGTCACTGAGCGCCAGCCTGACCGGCAGTGCTCGGCTCACATCAGAGCGCGGCGTTGCTGCTGGCAGCAGACCGTCAAATGATAGCGGTGGTGACTCAGGACCTCACAGGAGATCAAAGCGCTTCCTCTCCTACCCGCGCTTTGTTGAAGTCATGCTGGTCGCCGACAGCAAAATGGTGGAGCATCACGGCAGCAACCTGCAGCACTACATACTCACGCTGATGTCTATAGTAAGTGTGACAGTGGAGGTCTGCTCGGGGAAACGTTGTTGTACCTCGCAAAAACCAGCCGTTTACTGTCTCGTCACATCGCGACCATGAACTTCAATGCGATTCATCAGGATTTTAGTTTTGAGTTGGTTTGTTAAAGCTGGACCTTTGCATGTTTCCTCCCACCTGTTTGCTGTGTCTCCTACGTGTGTGTGTGGCAACAAATTCCAAAAGCACTGACCCCTCTGGTTCTCTGATAAAAACCCTCCTTAGTCCATCGGTTTTAGTGAACTCCCATTACTTCTTCGCTTTGCGGTTAACTGTGGCACACCTGCAGTTGTTTGCTCTTGATTTCCTTTTGAGGTATTCGACTCTATAAGTGGCTGAATACAAATGCTAACAACACTTTTCAGATTTACATTTGTAAATTAATAGAGAACTACGTATTATTTTCCTTAATCTTCTGAGTTTGGCACTGTTTTGCATTGGTTCATGCATGAATCGGATTTAAGTCTGATTCATGCAACAGCCAACAAGTTCAAGGTCTTTGCATACTTTCGCAGAGGCGCTGTGCATGGATGTGTTGTGAGATAGTACACACACACACGTTAGTGTTCCGATGTTGTCGTCAGTGCAGCATCTCGGTCTGCAGTCCTTTGTGGTCGGGAAGAGGGCAGCCCAGGGCAGGAGCAAAGAACTTTTCCAAGAGGACATAAGGAGTTTAGAGTCTGTCTCCCAGCTTTGATGAAGGTTAAAAAATAATCTCAGGTATGTCACGAAGAGCGATTACTTTCGGCCCACTTCAAACACCAGAAGGGGCCAGTGGTCTTCAAGGGGGCAGGCTGAGGTGACCTATATTTTGAAGAAAAGGCTTGTTTATTCTTAGGACCAGAGAGCTGAGAACAGAGTTACCAGTGTATGTGCTTCTAATCCAGATTTGTCCTCATTCAGGTCTCCTCCATCTATAAGGACCCAAGCATCGGGAACCTGATCAACATCGTGATCGTCAAGTTAGTGATAATCAACAATGAGCTGGTGAGTCTGTGCTCTGTTCTCGACATTTCCTCGTTGTCTTCCTGAAACCGCGACCATCTCCCCGTCTCTTTCTCTCCCTTTCACGTTTGTCAGGACGGCCCAGCTATTTCGTTTAACGCACAGACCACTTTAAAGAACTTCTGCATCTGGCAGCAGAACCAGAACGTCCTGGATGATAACCACCCCTCCCATCACGACACCGCCATCCTTATCACCAGGTGCAGGGAAATTATTTGCCTTCTCGCTGGCCTAGGCACGCTTTTAAGTCTCTGAAATATCCAAATACCCGGTGAACTCGGGGTTGAGTATGTGAAAGAGGGGCCTGATCAAAGAGCGGGTGAAGTGTTCTTCGTTTTAATGCAGAGCCGCTGACCATGACCTGTTATCTTTATCTTTCACCACAGGCAAGACATCTGTAGAGCGAGGGATAAGTGTGACACATTAGGTAAGCGGAGCGTTTCCACCAGCAGGCTGCGCAGCGAACGGCGTCGTGTGGGAAAACTGACACTGCTCTCGTGCTATGCAGGGCTCGCCGAGCTGGGGACGGTGTGTGATCCGTACCGCAGCTGCAGCATCAGTGAGGACAACGGGCTCAGCACTGCCTTCACCATCGCCCACGAACTGGGCCACGTGTAAGCAGAGCAGACCTTTGGGGATGTGTTTTTTTTTTTGTTTTTCTAAACGAGAGATGGATTTGGTTAAAGTTAGGCAATAATAGAGCTTCTAAAGTTTTACTTTGTTCTGCAAAAGCATTTAGACCTCTTGAGCTTTTCCGTATTTTTGCCGTTTGGAAGCAAAACTTCAACGTGGTTGACAGCAAGAAGCACATGATTGTGAATTAGAGGGAAAAGCGTACATATCTTGAGCATCTTTTTGAAATTAACATCTGAAAAGTTTTTTTATTTTGCCCCTTTAATCTGAGTTTGATCAATGAAACGAACTGAAAAATAATGTATTTGCCAGGCATGTTGTGCCATTTTATAGCGCAATCAAGTAACTGTGGTGCATTCAGTTGTTATAAAAATGCTGTTTATACGGATAAAACAGCGGTACCTTTATTATAAGAGTGACTTGGTTGTAGCCTCCAGTGTGACTTGGTTGTAGCCTAAACTCAGACTAACTCCCTTTGGTGCAGAGCCATGTTTTAAAGCCACAGGCTCCGCCCACAGGAAGACCAAACAAGCAAAAAAAAAAAAAAAAAAAAAACCCAATTACTTCTATCTCTAGTAAACTCTTATTAGACTATGCATAATAATATAATAATAATAATAATAATAATAATAATAATAATAATAATGAAGAAGAAAATGGAAAAAATATATACTTGTGACCAGAAACTGGGTGTTCCCATCAGACCGTCAGTTCCCGAAACTACACGCACAAAAAAGAATTACGTAAAAGCACACGGAAGTGTGTGCTAATTACCGCTGCCACTAGTCTGGAGGGGGCTCAGTGGGGATCATGCGGGGGTGAGGCAGAAGGTCGGAAGTAGGTGGCGCCTTGTGAGAACGAGCGTTCAGACACCTCTGAAAGGAGATTAAAGAATTTCTCAAACATTTACGAAAGAATCGAGGGAGCACTCCAAGAATGAGGGAAAAACATAACATGACATGAAGCTCAAAGAAGTCGATTTTACATAAGACCGCCCCTTTAAGCCTTCTGCAGTTAAGCCTTCATACATCATCTCTAACAAAATGCTCGTTCTTGCCACTAAACAAAGAGCTGGATTATTGAATTCTATCTTTATTCACACCAACCAGTGCAAACATGGCCGACGGTTGCTTGCTGGTGAAGCTCACTTGTGATTTTGCCCTGTATAAGGTGGGGAGCTTAGCCGCGAGTGGTGCGATGTCGTACCGGTTTACACCAATCACGTTTCTATACCCTGCTGCGGTCTGAATGTGGGGCCTCAGATTTTCCCATCTGAAATGTTTCCCTGGTTTTTAACATCATTTAATATCAGACTGGTTTCTCTCCAAAGTCCCCACAGGCAGAGAATACAAAGGCTCTGTTATTTTCAGTGGCAGCCACAAATTAGCTTCCCAAAACCATCACCGCAATGATAGTGGGAACATAGCTGCAGATGTAAAACATGGAGAGATATTAATAGTCTACAGTTCTGTGAAGTCATCACTCACTGCATGTCCGTCATTCAGAATGTTTTTGCTTTGTCTCCGAAACGTTCAAAATTACTTCAACCCTCCTCACTTAGATTTTCTTTCTTTCTTTTTTTTTTTTGGCGCTATATTGTCTGCGTGTTTTTTTTAGTTAGTTCACTTTTCTCTCCTCTCTAGGTTTAACATGCCTCACGATGACAGCAACAAGTGCAAGGAGGACGGAGTGAAGTCACAGCAGCATATCATGGCTCCCACGCTCAACTACAACACAAACCCTTGGATGTGGTCCAAGTGTAGCAGGAAGTACATCACAGAGTTCCTCGAGTATGTCGTGCCTCTTGTTATCATCACGATAACGCGTGTCCGTCTGTTAGGACGTAGCCAGAGAGAGTAAAAATCGCTTGTTCAGACGTGGATGGCGCAGACCTAGTGGAAGTTTTCATCCATATGCATCCAGAAACATGAACAAAGATGTTTCTTATTGTTTGCCACAGCAAAGCAATAAGGTCAAATGAGAGGAAAACTAAGCCTACTTGGAAAACAAACTACATGAAAGTTTTTGTGGCAAAATGTAACAAAATTGCGGCACTATAGCTGCACTGTTTGTTGGCTTGCTTCTTAAAACTGGAACTGCTAAATTCAGAAGTAACATAAGGAAGAAATACTTTTATAACTCCTTCAGCCTTAGTCTCCCTTTTTGCCCAATAAACTCATCGAACTCCTGAGAAAAAAAAAACACAAAAAAAACATCTACTCCGACTGTAGGAAATAGTAAATGGGATGATATTATGCGCGGTTGAGCATAAGCAGACGTCTTTGTGGATGTATGTGTGCAGATAACTGACCACTCCTGCCGTACTGAGTGTGTTTTCTGTCTGTTTGTGTCTCTTGTTTTTTTTTTTCCTTCCTCTTTTTTTTTCTTCAAGTCATTTTATTTTTATTTCCTAATAGCACGGGATATGGTGAGTGCTTGCTCGACGAGCCCGTTTCTAGGCCATACAGTCTGTTGCAGCAGCTGCCCGGGCGGATATACAGTGTCAATAGACAGTGCGAATTGATATTCGGGGCGGGAACGCAGGTGTGCCCTTACATGGTGAGTGGAATCGGGCTGTCGGCTTCTTTAAAGTCACACGTATAAAATGAAAACCTGTCAGTGGTTCCCTCTAAAATACGAAGGAAAGCAAATTGAACATTTTGTTAAAATGCATGCTTCTTTTTCTTTTTTTTTTAAGGTGCTGTGCATTAATTGTTGACCTTTGAAATGTCAGCATTAACATGTAGCTCACATGCCTGTGTGTAATTGACAGACTCAGTGTCGGAGGCTGTGGTGCACGAGTCCAGAGGGCGCCCAGCGGGGCTGCAGGACCCAGCACATGCCCTGGGCCGACGGCACCGACTGCGCACCCGGGAGGGTAAGCGTCGCGCAGAATCTGCAAACGAGAAATGTGCATGCAAGGATGTGGGTTCCAGTAGGAGAAAGTTCTTAGAAAACTAATGGGAGTGGGAATGTTTTCAGATACACTTAATAACTGCATTCAATATTTTTTGATGAAACTTAACCTTCCTTCATTCTTTTGTTTGTTCCATCTACGTATGCTCCTGTCATTGAATCTGTTTCCGTTCTTCCTCCCGTTTATCTCACAGCACTGCAAACACGGCCTGTGCATTCCCAACGAGCACGACGCCTCGCCGGTGGACGGAGCGTGGGGGGTTTGGAGTCCGTTCGGTACGTGCTCCCGGACATGCGGCGGCGGCATAAAGATTGCAATGCGCGAATGTAACCGACCAGTGTGAGTAGCCGCGTGTCTTTGTAGTCGTGCATGTTTTCATCTGCCGAAGTCAGTGTTCCATAGATCAAACCTCCTTAAGGGGATTCTTTCCATAGCAAGAGTTCAGTGAATCATTGATTGCAGACCTTACAGGGATGTTTTTTTCTGCTAAATGCACACACGTCGGCCAGTCTCGGTGAGTGTAGCCTTTCATCCCGGATTAATGGAGTCCAAGAAACGAATAGAAACGAATGAGAACGAGCTGAAGAGAAGAACTGACATACTTTAAGTTGCCATACTTTCTTGCGCTCTCAGACCCCGGAGCGGAGGAATGTACTGCGTCGGCCGGCGGATGAAGTTTCGTTCTTGCAACTCTGAGCCCTGCTCCAAGCAGAAGAAGGACTTCAGGGAGGAACAGTGTGCCGTCTTCGATGGAAAGCACTTCAACATCAACGGTCTACCTCCAAACGTCCGCTGGGTTCCCAAATACAGCGGAAGTGAGTCCTTGTTTTCATTTTCTGCTGCCTGCTGCCCGATTTTAGCTGGTGAAATGTATTAATCAGCGTAAGCCTTGCACCGACCAGCCTTTGTTTTGTCTCCTCTGTCAGTTCTGATGAAGGACAGATGTAAGCTGTTCTGCAGGGTGGCGGGCAGCACTGCCTACTATCAGCTCAGGGACAGGGTCATCGATGGCACGCCATGCGGACCCGATACCAACGACATCTGCGTCCAGGGCCTGTGCAGGGTGAGCCTGTTCGTACTGAGCGCTTAAAGACATCCCTGCTGCATCCCCTGGCGGGGTCTGTTCGTGCGGCACTCCCGTACCTTTTAATGACTTCCACATCCCTCCAACATCTCAAATCCTTCGCCTTAACCAGACCGTTTCCTCAAATCTGACGTCTAGATTTTCAGTTTGAAAGCTTGATTGCAAACATGCCCTGCACATCAAACGAGCCAGTGGGCTTCCCTGTGTACATTCGGAACCACACACAGAGCTTTGGGTTTGACTGTGGCTCAGGAAGTCCCTCTGCCCCGGACAAGTGCATTTCACATCCAGAGGTTGTCACGACATCAAAAATCTGTTTGGCTTAAGGCGGCAAGCTTTGTTCCATGCCACTGTTCAAAGAAACATTTGCAATGTTTCGTCTGAGTGCTACACACAGAACGCTGCAAAAGAAATCACGCCCTTTGGCGATTTTCAAAGCAACAGAGTCAAAGTTCAAACCTGAACCTTATTCATCTCACAGACACTTTCCAATACATTCACGGATATGCAGTACTTTGCATTGCCCTGCCATGTCGAGTCTTTCATAAGCAGAGTCTTTAAGAGTCGCCACGTTACATTTGTTCTTTCACGATCTGTACATTTTTACGTAAAAATAGCCAGATCCTTTGCATGATGATGCCAAAGTTGTGCTGTGCCATTCACATTAACAAAACACTTGTCTCGCCTCTTCCCTGATGGAGCAGCAAGCGGGTTGTGATCACGTCCTGAACTCTAAAGCCAGGAGAGACAAGTGTGGTGTCTGCGGAGGTGACAACTCCTCCTGCAAAACTGTAGCAGGACCGTTCAACACTGTACGCTACGGTGAGCTACGACCTTCTCGTCCCATCGCTCTCCATTCTGGATCCTGCCACTCTTGTTCTGTGTTTCAGCTACCATTAAATGTGACTGTCCTTCAGAAGAAAAAAAAAACAGATGTAATTTGTTTAAAATTGTTTATATTTGAGATCCAAAGCAGATACTGTAACAATCTAATCACATTTACAGGCTATAACGAAGTGGTGCGAATACCCAGTGGTGCTACAAACATAGATGTGCGACAACACAGCTACTCAGGGAAGCCGGAGGACGACAACTACCTCGGTGAGACTACGCCGCTGTTTCAGTCATATTGTGCTTCGTGTCTGGGAGTTGTAGTCGATCAGATATTCTATCTCGTCTTAAATATCTGCCTGCCTGTTAGTTTTATTGTGAAGTCATGTACTGTAAACTCAAGCACTGTATGCATACTCCTCTTTTAATGAGTCAGAACTAGGCCTGTTGGTGCCAATCAGGTGTGGTCAGCCAGGTTAGATGCTTGGTCACCTTGATGCTAAAGTTCGCGTTTTTGATTTGATCTAAATCAAAAACTCGGGACACGTTGGACGCGCTCGACGCGTCAAACGGTTCAAATCGCGCCGCGATGACCCTCCACGTGTAAACCAGACGGGCCTGACGCTCAAGGCGCATTTGGTGTAAGAGTGCCTGATGCACACTGTTAATTTTAGTGGAGGATTTTTGATACTGTGATGAAGTTTAAAAATAAATATCCGGTACCGTCTGCCTAAAAGCTAAACTGAAAATCAAATCAGAAGAGAAATAGTTCAGGGATGAAAATGAACCCTCTTTCATTTGGTCGTTCCAGTCTGTGCAGAGGGTTGAACATGTGGGGTGAGATGAAGAGAAGCTTGCGTCAGAGACGGCTGTTTATCACTGGATTATGCTGCTGCTGCTGCTGCAGGAAAACAAAAGCCAAACTTATTTTTAGGTTTTCTACACTTCCCCACCAATAAATGTGTTTTAACTCCACAGCTGTGTGTATTTCACAATGTCAACCTCAGAGCGTAGTTTAACATTAATCACCCTTTTCTACACAAACGGCTTGTAAGGTCCTTTTTTTTTATGTGTATGAACAGGCCGTAGATTTCTTAGAAGGATTTGCACTCTCGACAGTCATAATAATGTAACGTATGAAATGGTGAGGAAAGAAAAGGCAGGAAATTAGCTCCATAATCGCATTAGAGTGAATGAGTGCAGACGACCCCGAATGGGACTTCTCCTGGAAAAGAGGATTATTTTTTTACTTCTGCCTCGTGCCTCAGTCTACCTTTAAATGCTAACATAAACCTTTGTGTTTCTAATGCATCCCCTTGCATGCGGTGCCATGTGATCGCTTAAAGTAAGTGGTGCTGCCCCAAACACAGCTTTTAAACGCATGCCGCTCTGGAGATGATTCCACTCGAGTTGAGAGGACGCGGCTTGATCCGAAATGCAATTACGAGAGTCAAAAACGGTTCGTGTCTCCCTGCAGCGATATCAAACAGCCGCGGAGAGTTCCTGCTCAACGGAGACTTTGTGGTGAGCATGTTCAAAAGGGAAATCAAAGTGGGAGATGCCGTCATCGAGTACAGTGGCTCCGACCACGTCATCGAGAGGATCAACTGCACCGACCGCATCGAAGAGGAGATCATTGTTCAGGTAAAAAGAACTTTGGAGAAAATCTCCTCATACTAATGGTTTTCCCCTTGAACCTTTTATTTTTTTCACATTTTAGTATGTTGTAAAGTGTTTTATTGGGATTTTGTGCATCAGACCAGCACAGAGCAGTTTCAGAGTCGAATGTAATTAATCCAGGATTTAATTTGTTCAAAGAATAGCAATCTGGAAAGAATGGCTCTCATTTGTATTCACCTCTCTCCGCTTTGATGCCCAAAAATGCAATTTTAACAAAAATCTAGTCCAGAAGGCAACTCTTAGTCATGCACTAAATCAGCTCTTTGTGGAAGAAAGCTGATATGGAAGCAGGTGCTTCGGTTTTGTTGAAATCCGATCGAACCTTTACGGGCCTCTACCCAAAATGTGATGCATGCTGGGAGAATAGCTGTGCGCGCCGTCCTGGTGAAACACAGAGATGGCGGCATCATGGTGTGAGTTTTTTTTTTTTTTTTTTTTTTTTTAAACAACGGGACGAGGAAAAATTCCTCACAATAAAGGGTGAAAGTTAGGAAAAAACCC